GGGCCTTCGCGCCCCGCCGGGCTCCTTGGGGGGCCCGAGGAAGGGCCGGTTTGGCTAGGCCCCACCGGCTCGAAAGGGGGCCACGTGAGCGCCGGCCGCTGCCGCCCCCCGCCAGCGCTGGCTGTGCGCAGAGGGTTTCGCGAGGCCTCCGTGTGCCCCCTCTCCCCACCGCCCTGCTTCACCGGTCCCCCACCGCCCCATACATCCCCAGTGTTGTACCCCGAGGTGAAGGGATTTGGACTCACCACCCCCCCAGGTGCTTGAAAGAAGAGAAGGTTGGAGGAGGAGGAAGAGACTGGGGGGGCTGCTGGTGGTGGTGACAGGGCTGGGAGAGAAAGGAGAGGGACGGAAGGGAGGAGGGGGCTGGGTGGGGTGGGGGTGACAGGCAGAGAGGAGCCTGGTCAACAAGCCAGCACCACTCTGCTAGGAGGCCAGGCCGGCTCGCAACCGACGCATCCTGTGTGAGGAGACACACATAGATTGCTTTCTTGGGGGCTCTTTGTCAGCCACCAACACAGGGAACACACACTGACACACACGTACACAAAGATCTGAGCCAGGTTGTGGGAGGTAAGTGGGGGAAGGAGAAGGAGGGGGAAACAGTGTCTGGTGGACTTCGGGGTGGAGGGAGGGGGAATGCGCCCTAAGGGGCTCGGGGGGCTGGTGAGGCGAGCATTTCCAAGGCTGTGTGCTTTGTGTGGTGTGGGGGGGACACACGATGACCTTCCCCTCTTCAGAAAGACCTAAAAGGGCGAGGCAACCCCCAGTGAGATCCCCCGGTGCTGATGATTTTCAGGGACTTGTTGGCAACTCAGCGAGGGTTGCCATAGCTTTTTTATGTAGGGTGACCAGAACCGGCTGAAACTGGTTTGAGGCAGATCAGCTCCTGAACACAATGCAGTCACTGAGCTACTACAGTGGGATAGCAGCTTCCTCCCTTCATGGCAGCCAAAAGCAGAGGAGCTTGCAGGAAGGTGCCATCCCAACACAGTATGTGAATGCACACTTAGACACCACACAGCACTGGTACGTGACTAATGGAGCCCTAAAAGAGCCTGTGTAGAGACGATGGGGAAAAAGGTGCAGGTTTGCAGGGTCTGAGATTACTTGGGCTTTTCCTGCCTTTTTCTTTTGCTTAAGGGATGGACGAGGAGCTGAGATTTATGACCCTTATTAAAGAAAAAAATGTGCCTTGCTAGGGTGGGGACACTTGGTTTATGCAGTCTCTCTCTGTGTCTTTCTCTGTATTTTTAACAAAACAAAACCAGAATGAACTGATGGATTTGTGATGGTAGTTTGTTTGTTGCTGAAGAATGCTACTTTGCATGCTTTTTTCTCTTGCAGGGTATGTTCTGTTTTGTGCTTTTCCTTTTAGAAGCTACTAAAGGGTGTTTGGGATACTTCTGACTGTTGTGAAGGCCAAAAGGTAACAATATTGTTCTAGGAAATGAGCATAAACGCGTTCCAGTGATGCTGTTAGCCATACATGCTGTCTTTTTTTTCCTTGTAGGCCTGTTGACTGGGGCTGCTTTTAACCCTTTCATATTTGCAGAGAATGCAGCCGTGTGACAGTCACTGAACACTGATCCAAAGTCTTTCCAAAAGGTCAAGGTTCACCAGGTGAGATATGCTATTTTGAGCATGAATTTAAGTGTTTATTTGCAGATCCATTCCTACACAGACAGACAGTGGATTGGTACCCTGGAGATAAGACGGGGTTCAGAGTGAGAAGAAATACTCTTAATGTTATCCATGTTTAATGGGATTTCAAGTGACTTTTTGAAGGTATTGCTATCAAGGTGAAATCTGAATGCCTTCATTAAAATCGCATGTGCCTGGGCATTTGGAGCAGTCCTGCCTGGAAAGAGGCAAGTTCAGAGAATGGTAGGCGGCAGGGCCTTGTGGAGCATAGGCTGTTTTGCGTAAGGCTGAAGCAAGACACATGTGGCATTTTCCTGATCCTTGTAAGAAAAGGAAGGGCTTCACCAAATCGAGGCAGCCAAGCCACCTTTTGAGGATTTGAGGAGCCTGGAGGTAGACTCGCCTTTTGTTCATTCATCACCTTTCTTTTACCATGCTCTCTGTGTTAACCTGAAAGGCTTTTCACTCCGAGTCAAGTGGTGGAATGTCTTTTATTGATTTTGGGGGCGGTTGACGGTGAGTTCGCCATTGGATTATTTGTGGCATACATTTTAATGTGGAATACTAATGCAAGACCAGGAGGAAACTGGGTAGTCTGGCTTATTCTGTGCAGAGGTGCCTGTTAACTCAGAGCTTTACTGTAATGGGTGGTAGAAATGTCTGTGCCTCAGATGATTGCAGTTGGATTTGTGCTGGCATTTTCACACACCCTCCCAAACCAGAGGTTGGAGAATAGAGGAGAGGAGGAGAAGAGAGGAGAAAGCCGTAAGGAGTGTAGCAAAGTGAAGAACAAAGGCTGTGGGAGCTTTCAGGGGAACACTAAACATTTTGCCTTGGGGTTCCTTGTGAAAAGAACTGCAACTTCCCCAAACAGGAAACCAGTCACTCCAGAGTCGGATCCAACATGATCTCAGCAACAGAACTGGTTCTGCCTTTCTGCTGGTTTGGTAGAGGTACAGTCAAGAGGAGCTCGTAGGAGACATGATTGCAAATAAATTTCTCCCTCACTTTGAAGTGGGTATTTCTGTTCCTCTCTCTGTTCGACAGAATAGTCTTGTCAGAAATGCCCAGGATCTTGGAAATTGGTTAAGTTTTATGCTGGCAGTTGGTGGGCATATCTGCAGTGAAGGGTGTTAAGTATGCAAAGGTTTTTATTGTTGAAATGTTTTTCATTTGGCTGCAGAACATTGTCTGTGTGATAAAACTGGCAAAAGGGGAAACAGTGCATGGTTAGCTTGGAATACTTTATGTAGTATTTAACAGAGATAAATGTAATCTCAGACGGATATACCAGTAAATAGCTTACATGATGGAACAGAATTCTTTGCAAATCACTGTGCTAAAATTGGTTTTCAATTCTACCTCATTTTCGATTGCCAGAGGTTCTGCAGATGACTGTGGCAGAAATATGCTTGCATAGCAGATCCGAGTCCATGTTGCATGATACGCTGCTCGCGCATTTCTGGTGCCAACTAAAACTCAGATGGTTAATATGATAAACCTTAATTAGCTTAATACAATAAGCAGTTTTATCGTTTAGTCCTTCATTCTTGTCTTTCTAGAGTCGGTGGTTTTTATTTAACTTGGACAGTTCAGCCCTTGCAATGAGTATTTCTTGAGAAAAATGTTTAAAAAAACCTTTTTAGGCGCAGCATGTCATGGAATGTTCTGGTTTACTCTCTTGGAGGTTTTCAGCTTTGTTCTTCACCCTCCCCCTAGAAGTCTTCCTGAAAATAGCATTCGTTTTGCATTTAAGCCAGTCTTTCCAGCTGCAAATGCTGCTGAAGGTTAGGGAGCTGGTTCTCCAGGCAGCAGCCATGAGCTCATCCTGGACTGGGGCTTGCCCCAGGTGTTGATCTCATGCTGGGCTGTAACAATGTAGCAGGCCCAGGTCTCCCTGGAGAGGAACCCCTTGTGTTCTGGGGAATTAGCAAAGGCATGCTCCTCCCTGAGAGAAGCAGGAGGGAACACGGAGGCACCCACACTTGGGGCGGTGGCCTGTGCTGGAGCCGAGCCTGGCGCCTGGCTGGGAGTGCCTGGGGCAGTCTCTGAGGAAGACCTGTGGGCCATTCCCTCTGCTGCAGGAATGTGTGGGTTTGGCCCAGAATATACTGGAAAGAAAGTGTTTTATCTTTTGCCTGAAATTGAGTCATATTTTCCGTGTTAAGGAATGGCGGATGCAGGGTTTTGAGAAGTCTCAGCCTAATCTGCTTTGGGAGCCCCTCTCTGTTCTCCTCTATTCTCCTCCTTCTCAGAGACCCCTTTCCCCCGCTTGACTCATTTTTAAGGAAGGTCTAGGAAGGAGTAGCCAACATGTAAGTGGAATATTTTGCTTATACCTTTGACTTGGATGAGTTTCTTCCTCAGAGGTGCCTTCTTGGGCTTTGCTGTGGAATAGTCTGTCCTCAGTGGCTTTTGAATAACCTTTCTCCTGTTCCCGGTAGAACTTCACTCCTCTGTGCAGCTGGAGCCCAGGTTGCCCTCATGTGGAACCTTAAAAAGATACAGTACAAGGGAAGCTGAAGGGATCTAAAAGACATTTGGGGGGGCTCCTCTATCCCCAAAGAGCTCTTCTTCGTTCTGATACTTACTAGCAAAACAAGAGCAGCAGCCATGGTGGACACTGCAGAAATCCATCCCTTTGTGGTAATTATATTTTAGGGATAATCTTTAACCAGAGAAGTCATGGTTAAAGAATTGACTTTTTTGGTGTATGTGTGTGTGGTACTGAGGATTGAACCAAGGGACTTACCCATGCTAGGTAATTGCTCTGCTGTTGAGCTGTACTCTCAGCCCCTTTTACTTTGAGACAGGATCACACTGAATGCCCAAGCTTTTGTGATACTGCTTTCTCAGCTGGGTTATATGCATGCACCGCTGTCCCAAGCAAAAATTAACTCTTCTTTTGGTGGTACTGGGGATTGAACCCCTTTGCACAAAGGTATATATGTGCCCCCCTTGTTCTGAGGCTGTCTGTGGTAAGTTGCCCACAGTGGGCTTCGACTTTTGCTCCTCTCACTTCAGCCTTCCAGAGTGCTGTGCTTACAGGCACGTGGCACCACGCCCAGCAATGTGCAGTGCAGGGGCTTGAACCCAGGCCCTCGTGTACATGCTAGGCAAGTGCTGTACCACTGAGCTACATCCCTACCCCTTTGAAAAATTTTATTTTGAGGTGAGGGTTTTTCTAAATTGCTGAGGGGCAGACCTCCATTTTATCAGCCCTCTTGCCGCAGCCTACTGAGTAGTTGGGATTACAGGCATGTATCACTATGTCAGACAAGACTGACATTTTAAAATTATTTATTTATTTATTGTTTTTGAGACAGGGTCTTACTATGCAGTTCAGGCTGACCTTTAACTCACTTTGTAGCTCTGGCTGGCCTCAAACTCACAGTGATCTTCCTGCCTCAGCCTCCTGAGTGCTGGGATTACAGGCATGCATGAAATTTACTTTGTGGCGTACAATTCTTTTGATACGGGTATAGTCATGTATTTACCACCATAATCAATTCATGATAATCCCATCATGCTAAAATTTCCTGTTACCCCTTTGTCATGTATGCTCCCTTACCCTCACTTGAACCTAAGGCCTTCATTCTGAGCTACATCCCCAACCCTTTACAATTTTTATTTTGAGACAGAATCTTGCTACACTGCCCAGGCTGGACTCACACTTGCAGTCCTCCTGCCTCAGCCTCCCAGACTTCTGGGACTACAGACATGTCCCACCACATCCACTTGTCCCCTTGTATTTAGGCTCTTCTCCCCACCGGCAGTCAGTGTCCTGCTCTTGCGGCATTATTCGTTGTCTCTCTTGTTTTGGCTTTTGCAGCATGTCATAAAAATAGCTTTTTAGCAAAATGGCATTTGTGGTTTGCTGGGAGTGGTGGCACACACTTGTAATCCCACCATTCAGGAGGCTGAGGCAGGAGGATCCCCATGAGTTTGAGGCCAGCCTGGACTACAAAGCAAGACCCTTCTCAAAAAATCCTTTGTGAGTCATCTATCTATATTTTGTGTGTCAGTGCATTTTTTTTTTTTTTTTTTTTTTTGAGACAAGGTCTCGCTATGTAGTTCAGGCTGGCCTTGAGCTCACTTTGTAGCCCAGGCTGGCCTCAAACTCTCAATGATCCTCCTGCCTCAGCCTCCCGAGTTGTCAGTGCATTTTTATTGTTGGTTAGCATTCTGTATTCCACTGTGTTAATGTACCACACTTTATTCACCACTTGAGGACATTAGAGCTGTTTCTACTTTTGGTGATTGCGGAAAGTTATTGTAAACATCTCTGTACTGTGTAGGTTTTTCTGGGAATGTGAGGTGTTTGTTTTTTTGAATATGGTTTTGCTCTATTGCCCTGCCCAGACTAATCTTGAACCCCTGTGTTCAAGTGATCCTCCTGCTTCAGCCTCCCAAATGTAAGTTTTCATTTTTCTTGGTAAATACTTGGCATTGTCTGCCTGGGTCTTCACTATTTTAAATATTATGGTGTATTTATATTAATTAAAAGTGTGTTTGAAAGTAAATTCAGCTCATCTTAACTCACAGAAAAGATCTGGCCTTGACAGCTGCAGTTAAGACTTCCAAGGAAAGAGAACTGGTGAACGCTGAAGACGCTTGGGAGATGATCACGATAATAGAATAGTCTCTTAATAGGATGACATGCTTTATAACCCTGAACTAATCGGAATTAGCAAAAGTGGAAACAAAAAGCTGCAAGTGGTAAAATACTCTGTTTTACCTCAGCAGTTACTTTTAATCTCTTCAGAAACATTTGGCGGTTTAATTTTTACATTTGTCTTCAGGTTCATTAAAATACCACACAATAATAGAATTGAAATTTAGGAAAATATGGAAACTTCGGTTGTATGTAAATAACTTAATTGTACTTAATTTAGCAACTGCTAAAATATTGGTGGTACTCCAATATTTGACATCATTATTAAATATTATTTAGCTTTTTTTTTGCTTTTTTTTTTTTT